AAACCAAACAAATTTCAAATTCCAAACTATTTGAAAATAACTTACCGGACTGCTCCAACAAGCTCAGCCGATTCCAGACAAAATTGAGGCTGACCCATGGTAGAACTAGATGTGCCTGGTTGAGAGAAATGTTGTGGTGGTGCTCCATGATCGAGAGGGTGGCCGGATGTGGCAGTAACTAGGGAAAAACCGTGACTGCGCTCGCAATTTTAGAAGGAAATCGAAGTTGTTTCCGACAGTCTGGTGGGTTGCGATGGTCGGAGGCTGTAGAGGGAGATAAGGGGGTGCTGGCGGTGTGGGGGTCCGGCGGCATAGGTGGCGAGTGGTGGAAGTCATTGATGGAAGGAAGCGGTGGATCGGTAAGGAAGAATTTAGGGAGAAATTGAATCGTTTTCCGCATTTTCATATTTTGGGAAGAAAGGAAGAATACGCTCAAAACGTCTAAAGAGACGTTTTGAGTTTTCATTTAACTTTTTTTTATTTTTTTCAAAAATTCATTTTCGAAAACGGGAAAGAGAATGCATTTTCACTGTTTTGAAAAATCGAAAACAGAAAACTGTTCGAAAACAGCAAAGAGAACAGCCCCTAAATTACCAAAAGAGCTAATTAGCAAGTGAGATTAGATTTTTCCCAAACTTCTTGAATAGGAAAAGGAAAAGAATTACCTTCTCCAAGCCAGAGTCTGTGAGGCGTATGTCTATTTGAAAAATATAAGCAATTGAAGAGCAATACATGCCGTCTTTAGCAACACTAGCAACAAAGGAAGATGCCCGGCCTCTAGCTTTTAATAGAAAAAACAGGCCCCCTTTACCCTCTGAAATCATGTTAGTTTCAATTCAAATATGAGTACTTCAAGTGTTGGCATAAACATATGTGTACGAACTACACTAATAAGACCACAAATATCATATGCATGTATTAGCAGACACCTTTAAGCTGCAAAAAAATGAAAACATATTCCCATCACCCACCTAGATTTACCTATGCATGTACTTTTTGAACCGCCCCAACAAAATTTTGTAGTTCCCCAAGATCAACTCTTTTTGAACTGTTTCACTCCAATATGACCCTTAAATCAATAAATCAATAAAATGACATGACCTAAACATGCAACATATGGTCAATAGGCCTCATATTCTACTTCATGTAGCATGTGGACAAAAAAAGAACATTTTAAGTGTTGTTCAACTCATCTACTCTGTGCAGTCGAAGGCAAGATCATTTCATTTGAAAGGTAGCACAAATAAATGCTAAAACAATAGAAAAAAAGGACAAAATGAGACAAAATAATGGGGATCCGCTATGAATAGTCATGAATGCAAATAAATACAAGATAGAGAAATCTTATTACATCTGAATCTCTCTGGTACTCTATAATGTGTGTTTTTAACTTGGATTGCATTAATTGCAAATCTAATAAATCCTCCTCTATCTAAATCTCGCCAATTCCCTGTAAATTGCATCTTACTATAGATTGTATTCAACTGCAGTCAACATATATCGAATGTAAATTTTAGTTCGACCGGAGTAAAATAGAGAAGAAAGATCGACAAATTAGTGTACACAGATGTGAAGACACAAAATACTGTCTAAATGAGTCCGGCCTCTTGTCTGCGCTCACAACTAATTGATAATACTATTTCCATCTAAGACGAAAGATGATTTCCTCCATGGATAAACTCAACAACATTATCAATATGTTTTCTATGAAAAATATTTAGACCATCAACAGAGGCACAAAACCTCATAAGCACTTGACCTATTATAGAGACTTAGGATCAAACTATCCAGTTCTACTCTTACCTTCATTGATTTCCAAATCAGTACGAAATCCGGAACATTCCTCACAACGTGTAGCTGCTAGCACTCCAATACGATTTGCAATAGAAGTAAAAGTCCATGAAATTTTATTGAGCTTTTTAGACCAAAATGGCCAGTGTTTAAATTTTTTCTGGAGAGGCATAAACAAGAAACCTACTCATATGAACGAAGGTAACTAAAAATTTAATAAGACTGAAAATAAAGAGCAAAAATAGGATGCAAAGCATGATAAAAGAAGAACCAGAAGCATGGATTGTATTTCATAATTCTAGTAAGTGCTTGAAATGCATTGAAGAATGGCTATACTGTTCTTATACACATTGTTTTTATTCACTTGTCCCACTAAATCTATCAAATTATGTGCTTCATTCCGCCACAGCATAGATTCCAAATCAGGGAGAAAGCAGTGCCACAAGCCAAGTGAATCAAACACAACTACACCAATACCAGATGCCGAAGCACAATAAATATCTCTTTCTTTCAGTGTGAAACGTTCTATCATTTCCTTAAAGA